AGGGCGTGGACGAAGGCCCCGACGGGCTGAAGCTGATCTCGGATATCATCCGTGAGCGCCTGGGCATTGAGATGAGCGTCCTGATGGGGGCCAACATCGCCAACGAGGTGGCGGAGGAGAAGTTCTGCGAGACAACCATCGGTGACCACCTGGCACGGCTGCCCGAGGGGAGGGCAGGGCTGGGGCCCAGGATGCGAGCTCCTGCCTGGGGCTCTGATGCTCCCAGCCTCCCACAGCTTGCACAGCCAAGAGGGGACAGGAGACTTCAGAGCCTGGTGCTGCTGGGCAGTGACGCTAAAGGGGGTCGGGGCATACAGAAACTTAGCCATGTCTAGCAGCCTGGCAGGGCTGCCAGGGTCCAGATGGCAGCCAGGCCCCCACCACCTCGCTGCCTGCTGGGAGGTCACTTTGAGAGCCCCATCCTCAAGCCAAGGGGCTGGTCACTGCCTGGGGGCACCTGCTCCTGCACAAGCGCCTGGCTCCCCTGAGCACAGGCGCCATGGGGACCCCGGCGCAAGGCTTCGTGCTCTGCCCAGAGGCGCACAAGCATTCAAGCCGGGATGGAGACCTGGGCTTGGGGGGAGGCCAGCTCCTCCTGCAGGACCTGCTCCTAACCTGTCCCCACCCTCAACCCCCCAGGCTCCAAGAACCCGGAGCACGGGCAGATCCTGAAAGAGCTGCTGCAGACGCCCAACTTCCGGATCACCGTGGTGCAGGACGCTGACACCGTGGAGATCTGCGGGGCCCTCAAGGTGGGGGCACCTGCAGCTTAGCTGCGTGCCAGACTGTCCTGGCCCCCGGGGGCACGGGCAGCGCTGGGGAGGCCAAACGGCACTGCTGAGCTGGCAGGTCCAGGCCCTGGGGCTGCCCCCGACCACCCTGGGAGCAGCAAAGCCCTTGTGCTGCATCCAGCTGAGGCAGGCGGGGCAAGGGCTGGGCAAAGGGGAAGCCTCCCAGCCGCCACGGAGCTGGATATACGCTGTCGGGGGCCAGGACCCGGACCCGCTGGTAAGGGGCCGCTCTGTGCTGCCGTCCCCCCAGAACGTCGTTGCCGTGGGGGCTGGCTTCTGCGACGGCTTGGGCTTCGGGGACAACACCAAGGCGGCCGTGATCCGCCTGGGGCTGATGGAGATGATCGCCTTCGCCAAGCTCTTCTGCAAGGGCCCCGTCACCTCTGCCACCTTCCTGGAGAGCTGCGGCATCGCCGACCTCATCACCACCTGCTACGGCGGCCGGAACCACAAGGTGGCCGAGGCCTTCGCCAAGACCGGGAAGGTGCGTCCAGGAAGGGAATACCGGGCAGCGGGGCCAGGCCTGGAGCCGGGGGGGGGAGGGAGGCTGGCAGAGGGGCTCGCAGCAGCTCCATGGCTGCGGCCCCCTGCTCCGGCCCAGGGAGGGCGAGTCAGGAGGGCCAGGGCGGTGCAACCGAGGCTCTGCTCCGGGGCTCGTTTCAGTCCATCGAGCAGCTGGAGAAGGAGATGCTGAACGGGCAGAAGCTGCAGGGCCCGCAGACGGCCGCGGAGCTGCACCACATCCTCAAGCCCAAGAACCTGGTGGAGAAGTGAGTCCTGGTCCCCTGCAGCCCCGTGCCCCTTCTCAGCGCCGGTGCTGCAGCCCTCGCTCCCTGTCCCAACCGGGAGTCCCGTGGCCACGCGCTGCCCTGCTCCATCACGGGCTGGGCGTAGGGGTCCCTGCCACTGGCTGGCCAGGCGCGACCCGGCAGGGAGTCACTGCGCCCATCCGTGCATCCGCAGGTTCCCCCTCTTCACTGCCGTCTATCAGATCTGCTACAAGGGCAGACCCGTGGCGGAGTTCATCACGTGCCTCCAGAGCCACCCCGAGCACATCTAGCGGGCCCGGGCCGTCGGCCAAGCCGCTGACCTTGCTGCGCCCCCCGCTCCCTGCCTGCTGCTTCTGCCGCCTGTGCCCTCGCGTGCGGGGCGACGCCAGGGCCTTCGCGCACCGTCGACGGCACGAGGGGAAGGAGCTTGCCCCGCAGCCCTGGGCCTGCAGAGGTACCGGCGCAGCCCGCTTCGCGCCCGGGGCCGTGGGGATCTGCTCCGTGTCGGAGTCCAGCGCAGGCGCCGCTGTGGGCATGGGCGCGGCCCAGGGCCTGCCTTGCTGCTGCGCCGGCTGCTTCCTCCGCCTTCCCCTTCGCCCTGGCG